ATGGTAAAGAGATTGTTTAAATTTGCTGATGACATTAAAGTTTTTGGTGCCAGTGGCTCTGAGGAGGAAGCTGCTGCTTTCCAAAAGGATTTTGATTATTCAGTGAGTTGGGCGAATAGATGGCTTTTAATTATAATAAATGTAAGATAACGCATGTGGGATATAGCAATTTGAATTACGAGTACAATTTTGATGGGAATAACTTTAACGGTGTCATGGAAGATCACTCTGTTAAGCCATCCAAATAATGGGTTGTTGCTACTGTAAGGATTTTAGGTTGTATCTACAGAAATATTGAATATAAATCTAAAGAGGTTATAATGTCATTGCATGGGTTATTGGTTGGGCCACATTTAGAGTACTGTGTTCAGTTTTAGGCTCCTTACCTGAGAAAATATATCAAATTGTTGGAAAGGGTTTACAGGAGGGGTAATAGGATGATACCTAGGTTGGAAAGGTTGCCATACAAGAATATGTTAAGATGTCTGAAATTGTTTTATATGGAAAAAAGAATTAAATGGAATCTGACTGAAGTGTTTAAGATTGTTAAGGAACTTGGTAGTGTTGATGCATATTTTTTTTTTTCGTATTCAGTGGTGAAAAGTGTGAGACTAAACATAAATATAAATTTTGGCAGTGTTGGAGTCATCTTCAGTTAAGACTTTAGCTTCAGGGTGGTCAGTTTTTGGAAAGGTTTCCTTCGGATGTAGTACATACAGTTAATTTAAGAGAAAGCTTGATAAATATTTGAATGATAAAGACAGGTTTTGGATTTTTTAGTGTTTGATTTAATTTACTGACTAGGACGGCCTAGGTGGACAAAAAAAAAGATATCCATTGTTTCCTTTAATATTATGTTATAATCGAATGAGATTGCTGTGAATCCAGTTTTTTCGCCCATTTTCTCCATAAAACAGCCATTACTTTCAAGATATGTTTAGACGCATGTTAACTGTGGCATTTGGTCTTTCGACAGCTTTAATTTCTTTTTTAGTTTTTCATTAAATGTACCGTGAGATATGCCCAACTTCATCCTAGTAGAGTTTACGTTAGAGGGTTTCCTTTTGTAACCACAGCCTACCTGAACTTTGTGGTTAAAGGCTTTGCGAGATTTTTTTTTTTGCTTCTTGAAAACGCCGTGTTATAAATGTTGTGTCCTATTGGTTTACATCGTTTAAAAATTTCGCTTTACTAATTTTATTCCTTAACAGTGTTTGTGTCATATATATTCCTCCAACGATAAGTTTTCACTGTCGAATAGTCGTGTTTGGTTTGGTTTATTTTGAATTTCGCGCAAAACTACACGAGGGCTATCTGCGCTAACCGTCCCTAATTTAGCAGTGTAAGACTAGAGGAAAGGCAGCTAGTCATCACTACCCCCCGCCAACTCTTTTACCAACGAATAGTGGGATTGATCGTCACATTATAAAGCCCCCACGAGCATGTTTGGTGAGACGGGGATTTGACTCCGCAGATTGCGAGTCGAGCGCCTTAACCACTTGGCCATGCCAAGCCCGAATGGTCGGGAACTTGCTACTAAATAACTATATAAGTGTTAAAAATGTCGCCCGTGGCTCGTATCTGCGGCGACGTTCTACAGTATTAACAATAGTTCTTATAAAATGGACTTAGTCACCTGTACTGAAGAAAGATCTAAAATATAAGCTGTTACTTGTTCTTTTAAGCAAACAAATATCGTAGCTTAATCTGTTATGACTATAAAAAATCACTTATGTTTGTATATCAGGTTGGAAAACTTTATTCAGTGATTAGCGAGCCGGACCGACGTTCCATGGTTCATGATCTACACTATGAGTTGTGAGTTATAAGAGTGTCGGTCAAATCCCACTATTTGATTAAAGCAGCCAAAGAGTTAGCGGTAGATGCTGTTGACTTACCCCCTTCCTTCTATCAGTTTAAAGTTAGAGAAGGTTAATACAGCTACGACTTATATAACTTTGCGCGAATAACCGGAATAAACAAACCGTTTATGCAACAGTAAATAAATTTTACATTAAAATTTATAATATTATTATTTAATTTAAATTGTAACAAGGCGTTATGTTAAATGTATATAAATATGCGGGTACAAAAAAATAAAACATGTAAACCAAAAGAAACAGAATGTTTAAAGAAAACATAATTGATAATGCATACAGAGTAACAGCGTGCAAGAACTATGTCGGACATAGAGAATGAAAGATTAGAGGTGAAGTTAGTGAAAAATACGTTGTATAATAGAGACAATGACTGAAAACAAATGAGCGGGAAGGCATGGTAGAATGAAAACGATTGGAAACAAGTGATATTTTAGGAGGAAAGAATAGAACGGACAAACCGACAAAATACCAAAAAATAAAGATAAAGGATAAATAGAAATAGGAGAATTATTCAAATCAACGAGGTTTATTTTTCGTATAAGACTCATGACGTAGCTAATCAATGAGACTTAATATTTAAGACCCGGCGCCGCGAAAAACTCGGCCCTGATATGGCTGCGCCTTTCTGTTTTATTTATTACTAATTTGACAACTGACTACTTTTACGCTTTCTATTGTAGTTACTATACATCGTAGGTACAGAGCATCAGGGTAATGGATCACAAAGACGACAAACATGACATACATGGCATGTACCTTTCTTTCGTTTTTTGTTCAACACATACTCATGGATCACAAAGACGACAAACATGACACACATGGCATGTACCTTTCTTTCGTTTTTTGTTCAACACATACTCTGCCAGTTACTACTGTTTCCATGCTTCCTGGTATCCGATTGAAAATCTGAAAGTTGTATTGAAATCAGCTCAACTAATGTAGCTATACTGTTTACTAATAATTACTGTTGCGTTTTTTCGATTATATGTTTCATAATTTTTTCAGCCGCGAGTCTTAAGTATTCAGCAAGTGTATTGGAACTAAGAGGAAATATGGATTTTACACACATCAACGTCGGTTTAAATGTTTAATGTTAAAGCTGGTGTTTTCTGTACTGTAATATTCATCATTCCGTTGTTCTGAAAATCAGATTAGCTTAATCAAGAGCTTTCGTGCTGGACATCATTAAGGTGTGTATTTCGGTTTTGTCATTATGCTAAAAATTGCTTTTCATGAACGTTAAGAAACTAACCACCTAGTCTAACACACACACACACACATATATATATATATTGGCAAGAGTCCTTAATGGTCTCTGAAATTCTGTATTAATGATATATCTCACGCCATAAGTTAATTTAGCTCTTGACTGTAGGAGAAGAAAAAGGTAAATAAAACTTTGTAACTTCAGGATTGTAGTAGCAACAGAAATATTTTGTTGATATATCATGACATGTGCAGGTGAAGAAACAAAACTCATACCAAATATTGATTTTATATTAAATGAAATTTGTTGTTGTTTTTTCCAATATTTTCGCGATTACCTCCACCTTTATGTTGATTATGTTCAACATCACGCAATATCCAGTTCATACAGATCAACCCCCATTCTTCGCTTACTACATATGACTAAATGTTTTCGCAGAAAAGCATTTTTGACAGGCGCAGTATGTTATCAACTCGTCATTTTTTTTTCATTTCATTTAATGTAATTATTACCAGTTCAGAACTATACATATAATATATTTAATCGATCGACGTTTTTATCTTTTGGACGTTGAGTAAAATGTTTTTAATAATTTCAAAATTTCGAGTACATGGAGATAACAGTAGATAAGAACGTCATTATTTGTCTGGCCCAACTGGTCCTAAATAACGCCAAAGAGATAACAGTAAATAAGAATGTCATTATTTGTCTGGCCCAGCTGGTATAAATAACGCCAAAAAGATAACAGTAAATAAGAACGTCATTATTTGTCTGGCCCAACTGGTCCTAAATAACGCCAAAGAGATAACAGTAAATAAGAACGTCATTATTTGTCTGGCCCAGCTGGTATAAATAACGCCAAAAAGATAACAGTAAATAAGAACGTCATTATTTGTCTGGCCCAACTGGTCCTAAATAACGGCAAACAAAGGGTTTTTAAAGACAGCTTATAGAATAATGGGTCATGTAAAGCCTCGACAATTTAAATGGTAAAAATGAATTGCAGTTGCTCAGAGTATAAAATAATATTGTCCAAATTATTTTATTATTCATTTTGTGTTGTTACAATGTATAACAATGAGCTATAACATCCGTTCTGAGTTAAACCATGTTTTAGCTATACACACGATCCATCTTTGTTTGTTTTTCCAAAAAATAATTTTTTAAACCTAACGTAATGAGTTAGGGCTTTGTTCGCTCATTTTATTTGGAAACCGCTCTCGGAGTTTCATCTTTTGGTACTCTTGTATTATTTCGTCTTTTGGTGTTCTTAATTGTTTCACTTTGTGGTGTTGTTTTATCGTTTTATTATATGGTGCTCGTCTGTTGTTTCATCTTGTGGCAGTCTTATATTTATTTTTTTTACTTTGAGGCGCTCTTTTATTTGTTATCATGTGGTACTCCTCTTTTGTTTCATTATAGAATAATGCAACTCATCTCCCTATGAAACAGAGTTACAGTAAATAGAGGACTCGAGGTTAAATACAAGTCTATCAAAAACGAATTCAACTCAGAGAGTTCATGATTTTACGTACTTACCTAAGCGAACATGGTAAACATGGAAGTTATATATTGGGATCATGCTAAAATAAGGATTATCAAATGGATGGTCTTGGCCACTTTATCAGTTCCACTAGCTTAAGTTTTTAAGTTCTCAGTTGTTTTAGTAAGTTCAATCAACTATATTGTTGAATAAATTATGTCAGTTTTAGGAAATCTCGCAGAATTACAAGCCTAGGTGACTTTAGAGGTTGTATGTTTACGCGTTGTTTTATAATAAGGATTTTGGTAATACTATGAAGTACTTTACTTCTACGTTTGAAAGTTAATAAAGTTTAAATGGTAAAGCTCATCAAATGATTCAGTAAATGTTTAAACATTCTTAAACACTGCGTCTGTTTCTATCTATACAGAGTCAACAGTGTCGTCAGATACCAAACCAACGACACACGTCCAGGTGGCGTGTTATGACAAAGGGCAAGTTTACATAGATGGTGAAACGTTTGCTTCAAACTCGACCAGTTTTCAACCACAAAAGCCTAATCAGTGCATACAATGTGTTTGTCAGGTAATAAACTCTCGTCGTGAGAGATCTTCAGTTAGTTTATATGTTATGGTGACATTAACCCTAACTCAACTGCTTATCAGAATACCAAAATTATATTCATCCTTTTTATTTTCTCCGGGTAATCGTAAGTTGTATACTTAAACAGTTTAATTTAAACGATCAGATATTCTTAGTTTATAATTACTGCATTTATAAAATTGTGACCCGTGGTACTGGCATAACAGTTTTCCTTTATGAGATGACCTTTCAGGATAAAAACTATTCCAACCACTGCATTTGTGAATTTAATAGTAAGTTTTTTATTGAATGTACAATTCTTCTTTGCTTAAAGGTTTCTGCCTACCTGTACTCTAACCTGTGCATTTGTCTCTTGATAAATGTGCTGTCTTAATTGACGTCTTATTCCTATTAAACCGAAAACAGATTTTCTTTGATAGATTGTTTAGGCAGAGTATTCATGATGAAACGTTGTAGAATGGACGACAACTACCTGATGTTGAGGACGACGTTTCGAAATTCTTCCGCCTTTCGTATTCAGGTTGTATTCTTAAACAATTTAATTTGAACGACCAGATATTCTTAGTTTATAATCACTGCATTTATCAAATTGTGACTTGAAGACGAAAGGTGGAAGACTTTCGAAATGTCGTTCTCTACAACAGGCAGTTGCTGTCCATTCTACAAAATTCCATCGAAAGTATATCATCTTAACCACTCTACGTGTTTCACTCGAATATGTTTTTAGAAATTCTAACTAAAAATAAAAACATAAAACTTATCGAGTATTTTTTTTGTGTAAGTTTATTGGTTCAATGCTTGTCTTTCATAATGAGGTTTTAATTCTCAGAAACATCATCTGATCTGATGATTGAAGGTCGTTATCACGGTATAAACGCATAATTTATCTTAGTCCGTTACTGCATGTCTAGCAACCCTCGATATGGAGCGTAGTTTTATAGCGATTTGTTCCTTGACCAATCGAAGGCCGATATTGAATCAACAAATCTATATACTAATGTATTTAAATGATATATATTATTTCTTCCCCTAACTTGTAGGCTAACGTTTCATTTTCTTTCTCAAAGTTTCAGACTTTCTCTGTGTTAAGTCACTTTTCCGTTTGGCAATTTTTGGCATGGTGATTTTCGATGTTTTCATCACTTTATATTCATGATGAAGTAAAAAATAATTGTGTAATTTACGAAGAACGAGTTACTACAAAATTCCTGCAAATTTGTATGTAATGAACTCCGTACGAAGGACTTGCGATTCCGTTGGTCATAGAACAATTCAATTCATAGCGTACGCTTGGATTCTCCAGAAGAAAAAAAAAAGTCACTTTTCTTCTGATATATCACAATGATTCTCCACTAGCAAGACTCACTTTGAAATTCTGCATTAAACTTACTTTACAACAAATGTAGAAGTTTTATTAAAAAAACGAATTTCCTCAATAAGAATAAAAAATGCACAAAATTAATGTACATTATTAAAAATGAAACAATTGTCATTTCTCCATTAAGGAAGCGATGTTATAAAGTGAGGTCTTATTATTATTTGTTTAATTTTAGCGAGGGTTTATTTTGTAACATTTTTCATTTTGGTGCGATATTTAACTGTTATTGACTTATTTCTTAAAAAAAGTGGACAGATTCACTAAATAAACTTTTTTATAAAAGATCCACTTGTAATAAACAGTTGTTAAGAACTTCCACAAATCGGACTTAAACTGTGGGACAGTATTGCGGACAGACGGACATTAGCCTCTTATGTAACATTACAATTAATTATTTTTCATTAAAAATTAATGCCCAGTTACTGACTATAGATCTCTGCATTGACAGTTCGCTGTGGATTGAGGAGGTCAAAATAGATTACTCCTTTGATGTCCCACCAAATTCAAATCATCACTTTCTGCGGATGGAGTCCAGGTTTTGTGGTAGGAAGTGGTTTTTGTCTAG